CCCCGCAGTTTATGAAAGTTTACAAAATTTACGGGCAGATATTATGAGATTATTTTCTTCTCTCTGCCACCTTTCATTYCATTTTATTTGTGTTTCTTTTTATTGTACATAGAAATTGTTTTTTATGTTTTATGAAATGAATAAAGTTTATCATCATCACCTCCTCTATCCAAACCGGTGCTTGGATAGATGAGGCGTGTCTTCCTCTGGCTTCATAAAGTAATTGCCGTCTCCCCCCGCAGTTTATGAAAGTTTACAAAATTTACGGAAAGGAAAACTTAGTTACTGAAATGTCTGTTCTCTGATCTCCTCAAACTCGAAGATTGGAGCCCTGAGGCRACGTCAAGCTAAAGATCTGAAGTATACTTTGTACGTCTGTTAAGGTTTTATTATGAAAGATTAACTTTAATGAGGGGTCCAGAAGGGAAACCTTTCTGATTGCATATCTAACAACAATAATACAGTGTATATTTCTTTTCTTAAACAGTGATATCAATCCTTAACGTTAAATAAATGTAACAGCAGAAAGTACCCTCCTACAGTGCAGTTATAACTGCATGAACTTCCATTCCAGGCCCTCCGTCACGATCGCAAATTTAGGAGCTTTACATCACGAGCCATCGCACCGCCAGCTGCATGTGGAGCAGAAGCTCAGTGAACTCTGCCTGTCCCTGTTCTCCATCTTTAATTCATGGAGCGTGGCGTAGCTTTACTGCATGTGGACAGCTTGCATAGGGAGGGAAGTTGATCGGAGAGGAATCACGTGCGCTGACCTCGATACAGAGACCTCTGTGCGGAGTCAGTCCATCTCACAGTGTAGACGATTTAATATTCTTATTAGCAGATCAAATAGTGACAAAAACTTTTTTATTAGATGTGAGAGAATCTTTAGATTTCTGTAGCATTCGTTTTGAAATATTAAACATYTATCATTACATAGTAAAATACAACATTTAGAAAATCAGTATTGAATTAGACCACTGGGAGGAAACTGCTGTAATCAGTTGTTGGTTCTTTGGATTAGAGTGGGTTCATTAACACAACTGATCCAAGATGTCCAAAACTGTTTCCAAAACTTATTTTAAATTGGCTCAAACAACAATCCTGTTTGTATTTGTTTACTTTTATTTCCTATAACAAAGTGTTTGTTACACAAGGGGGCCAAAATTTAAAACCCGGTCTAAGCAAAGGATCAATGAAGAAATGTCATATAAAACAATGCAAATTAACTTGCATTTGTATTTATTTTGTAATTATGTTTTATGTAGCATTTTAAAAAAATTAAAAAGACATTTGTTATGATTTGTGTCTGTGTTAATGTTTTATTTTCGTTTCTGTCTTGTCATCTGTTTTCTTCCTCCTGTTTGCCTTTGCTCCAGCCCCGCCCACTCTCACCTGCTCCTCATGTTTCTCTCCCAGGTGTTTCCTGTTTGTGCTCGTTAGTCTCACCTTTATATTCTTTGTCTTCACTTCCCTGTCTGATCATTGTGCTGTTCACAGCCTCTATGTTTACTGCCTTGCCTTACCTTGCCTTGCCTTGCCTTACCTTACCTTGCCTTGCCTTGCCTTGCCTTGCCTTGCCTTGCCTTGCCTTACCTTACCTTACCTTACCTAGCCTTACCTTGCCTTGCCTTGCCTTGCCTTGCCTTGCCTTGCCTTGCCTTGCCTTGCCACGCCTTGCCACGCCACACTAAACCAAGTGAGTTTTTGAGCTGCCCTGTCAGCAATTTTTGTTTAATAAATCTTTATTTTTTTCCTTTTTGAAGCTGCCTGCACCCTGGGTTCATTTTTACCAATTCGTAACAACATTAGCAAAAATTCGTTATGCCTCACTCTCTACCAAAATCTTCTTTTATTTTTATTTCTTAGAAGCATATTTCATCACAATCTAGCAAATCAGATTAAAAAAACGAGAACCCTCACTAAAAATTCAATAATTTGACTTTAAAACAAGAAAAAAAAAATACAGCAAAAGATATATCAAGTCGACGTTTTCCCCACCTAAATCAAAGATTACTGAAAAATTTGTTATTTTCCTTGGCTTGAAAGTTGGCCAGCTGTCATGAGAAGAATCACTAAATACAAAAATAAAAAGTGAAAACTATTCCACAATTAAAGTTTTACCTTTGGGGCCGGATAAAATGTGAACRAGGGTCAGGTTTGGCCCGCGGGCCTTGAGTTTGACACATATGTTCTAAAGCAGTGGTTCCCAGAGTTGGGACTGAGACCCCACTGTGAGTCCTGAAACATCAAGATGAGGTCTAGAAAATAAAAATGCTACAGTTGTTTGTATTAGTTATTACAAATGCGTTGTGTTTTAAAAAGTACAAAAGAAGCATCATCACAATTGTTACTAAGCTCTAGTTTATTTGATCTGACAGCAATGTTAGCACATAAATAAAAGTGCAGAGGTCTCTGCTGCTGTTTAGTTTGTGGGTCATAAGCTCAAACGTTTGGGAGCTGTTGTACTGAACTATCAGGAATGATGTCTTCTTCTTCTTCATATTTTTTATTGGCGGTTGGCAAACAACTTGTGGTGTGCATTACCGCCACCTACTAGAATGGAGTGTGGGTCAAAATGCTCTGTCTCTATTATTACTATGCCTCTTTTTTTTGTACTTGTATTTGTTACATTCTGAATGATGTCGTCTTCTCGTTTCATCAAGCTTAGCAGCTGTCTGTGACGTGGTAATCAGGCCAGCAGGTGTAAACCATCATCTCACCGCACTCTGAAGGCGAGCTCAGCAGGCAGCTGGGTCATGTGAGATGATGGGTTAGCTTACTGACCACGATACAAATAATGAGATCGGGGAAGATTCCCCAGCTCAGAGGAGAGAGAACCGAGGGCAGTGAAAACACACAAAGCAAGCAAAAAGCAGAGAAGAAGAGATTTCTACGTTTCCCGATCGTTAGTTCACGCACGACCTCCGAAAAAAAGATCTCCACGTGCTCTTTACTCGTGTGCCATGGGTTTTCCAGAACACCCACATCTTATAAAAGGCTTTCACAGCAGATAAAACTCCCAGCCAATCCGTTTCTTTTATCCCCACGCTGTGGGAGGGGCTCAGCCCTCTGCTCACATTGCAGTCCTCCCATCCATCGCTGAAAATAAAAAAAAGATGTAGAGAGAAAAGAGAAAAAAAACCTGAT